CCCCCCGAAAAAAAAAAAGAAATATTTTAAAATTTTTATTTTGATACAGGCATACAATCCCTAAATTCACTTTTTATAATTTAACCTTCACGTTTTGTTATTGTTTTGTGGAGAAATAAACTTATTACTTGCTGAAAATGGTTAAAGTTTGTTAAGCGCCCAGCTTCGAATAAGGTCCAAAAATTTTATAAGCACCCAGGACGCTTACCGTAATCAACTAGGTAAGGAAATAGAGATTTCTTTGGTGCTTTCATAAGCCCGAAAAACTTCTCCACTCAAGAGGAGATCATTGCGACCGTGCAAGGCACTCCGTTGTGAGAGGCGTAAACAAAATACTTACTGAATATTGCAAGTCAACAATTACGGGGCAAAGTTCATGTTTCGCTTGCTTGCTTGCACGTTGATTTATGGCGTGATAAGATGACTATTGTGGGTAATTATAGAATGCACATGTTATCAACGCTCGGAGCCAATTAGCGGGTGAACATAATTGTATCACTGCAGTTATCTGTAACAAAAAGGTGTGAAAGACAAACCGAAGCGTGATGTTGAACTCACTTTATGACCAAAATATCACGATTATTATTTCGCTGCCATATTTGGCACAGACTGCTTTCAAATCTGCCAGGCTACAACGTGAGAGGTTCACGAATATTGCCTGACTCAAATGGATTCCTTTCGTCTTTTGTCGACATCTGTTCGATCAGCCGAGTCCGCACGCCTATATTCGGTTTCCACCGAAAAAACGATTTTTTACCTGGATACATGAATAGAGAGCTGGGTTATACAGGTTGGAAGGTTGGAATATTGCCATGTAATGAAATATATCAATACCCTCCTCAAGAAAATTGTTGGTGATCGTAAGCTTTTTCGATCATTCGATAACTTTCTCATTTTCGGGCTGACGAGTGATGCCGTGGCGGTAGGCCCGAAAATCAACAACTTGTTAGGTTAAAAAAGAAGTTACCGAACACTCGAGAAATCCTAATATTGGACCAAATTTACTGTTGAGTTTATTGTTGCTCTCTCTTTTTTTCTTCTAACTGATTGAGTTTGTACAAGACGGCATACTAAAACATTGCCGCTGGTAATTTCGTTATCGTAGTAACGATCGGAAACGCTGATCGCTGGGAAGCCGAACGTGATTCGCCTGAACAAAATAGAACAAAACAAAATTGGCAAATAAATTATACAACAACAACAACAACAACAACAACAACAACAAAGAGTAATTACCTTTTTTTTTACCTGGTTAGGTTTTGTTAATCTTTTCACTCTCAAGAGTCACTTGCAGGATATCTTTCCTCTTAAACATCATTATATTTTAAGTAGAAATGTGACACGACAAAGAAAAAAAAAACCCTCCTACGAAGTTTTCAGAATTCAATCAAACTTTCCAGTTCGTTAGGTAATAAGGAGGAATAGAAATGAGATCGTGAGCATAAACAAGCAATAACAGGAGCATTCGACATGTGTTTATCCCGTGCTTCTTAATGCCGGAAATCTATTGTTAATTTTGCCGTATTTGTAATGGTTTTGATCACATTTCCTGTGAACATGCTCTTCAAGTGATCTGAGATGTTCCACGGCAAGCCACCTAGGACTGGGCTCTACAATAGTGGGGTGCCGAGACTTGCCGAATGTCTTCGGAAGTCACCGAATGCTAATTCACGGGATTCTGCACTGTTGTTGGGAATTGGTAGACGTAGACTTGCTAATGTTGTGCTTGTTTTCAGACTCTTGAGCTACATGTTCATTTGGTTTGGTTACCAAGGAGGATTTTGAAGTGTTGAAATGGTTTGGCACTGCTACTTATGATTTCCGTTTGGTAAACTTTGAACTTCCATCCTTGTCCGCCATTTTGTTTAGTCGAATCGGCTAGAAGGACGTGCGCGTGTTTACAAGTGTTTTGGCACAGATATCGCCATTTTACAATCACGCTAGCTGAGGAATGGACATATTCCGCCATAAACACTGCTTTTGCAGTTCTGTGTACAACATGAATGGCGGTAAAGTGTTATGAACAAGACCAATGAGCTATGAATGAATCTGTGGAAAACGGGTTAGTAGCTATATTTTGTGATAAACTGTGATAGTTAGGGATGCTTTAACTGATCACCGATGACCTCCAACCTCTTCTTTCGACACAGCTGCCTTCTAAAGCGTCACAAGGAACGATTCGGTGTATTTTAGTGTTATATTCTGAATATAAAAGTTGTACTCACGAAGGCTTCTCATACTATCCACGGTTAAGGTCTGATCGATCGATCTTGTTCATATTTACCAGTTTCATATGGTACTTTCCTCCCTCAACCCTGACCTATGCGATATCTACTATAGGATCTTGTCTTTGTGGCGTTTTCATGGATGTTTTGCCCAATGTTCGGCCATAGGGCAACGTGCGTTTTAAGATTTCATCACTTAGAATTCAGTGCATTCATCTTCGTCGCGTGTGCGTTTACGTTCACAGCGATCTTCATGAGTCACCTGGCAGTAAATGGGAACGTCTTTTTGTTGTATTTTGTGAAATCTTTGTTCAAGTAAAATTTAATTCACAATATGATCGGTGAATTAAATCTTCTACCTCGACATTTTCATTTACATCCAAAATCAGAATCTAGTAACCTCCCGGAGGAAATTCTGATTTAATAGTTATTGCCTATGTGGCTTTAGTAGCAAAATATCAGCACCAACATTCTCCTCAAAATAAGTACAGTTCAGTTTACTATACAAAACTGAAATTAAACTTGTGATCAGTTGGTCATGTTAAGTAAGCTACTGTAACTCCTTCCAGATTTAGAACTAAACAATTATTGGATGAGGTTCTGTTTTATATTAAGAATAACTGAAGGTCAGGGTCAGTTGTCTTCTTGCACACCTCTGCGTGAAAGGTGGATAACGCTATCCAAGGGATAAATTGCCATTCAGGGAATAATTGATAGCAAAATGTACTGTGCTATCCAGATAACATGAACCTAAATGTAGATCATTCTTTTCTTGCAAAAACAGAATTCACTTATAGCTATTACTCATGTGGGGAGCTAATTTCCATAACTCACAAGCAGGTTAATAAAATGTCATTATGAAAATGAAGGTTTAATATATAATGGTAACAGGATGGAGTGGAGTCCAATTCAGTCTGCAATCACACAAGTGATTGAAAAAATTGGACGACTGCAAAGCAGGAGTCCGATTTGGTTATCACAAGTATGATTACATACAGAATTGGGCAACAAGAAGTCCTGTCAACAATTAATGAAAACTAGACAAAATTTGAGAAAGAAACTAGACATCAGTGAAACATTTTTATAGGAATAAAACAATAGTTAACTCAGCAAAATGCAAGACAATAGAGCATGCACATGATGCGTTCTGTCCACTCATGCAGGTATGACATGTTAACTGTCCTATTACACTGTCCAATTACAAACATGATGTGTACACTGTCCTATTAGAGCGTAAATTGGGATGGTGATAACCAATCACATTTGAAAATTTTGGTATAGTTTTGATTAAAACCATAATATCATCAAGTTTCAAAGAAACTGGTCCTTCTAGTACCTGCACTACCAAATATATATGTATAATGGGACAAAATAACAACTTTTACCTGATAAATTTGAATATTTTCATTATCAGTTTGCTTGATAATGTATCAATAATATAGGTACAAGTTACATGTTAATAACCCTTTCACTACCAGAAGTGATTAACATGTAACTTCTCCCTATAATATCTATGCATACTGGAGCAAGCAGGTAATGAGAATACTCAAATGTAGACAGGTAGAGGTTACCTTGATCTATCACCAAATTCTCATAACTAATTTACAAGGGAATGTGTTGAAGCTAGAAGGAAGAATTAATAATCAGATCTTGGGAGTTAAAGGGTT